TTATATGAAATATCCAGAATAAGCAAATCTGTAGAGGTAGCAGCTTTGTGGTTGTCTCGGGTTGGGAGTAGAGGTGGGTAGTGGCAGGTAGAGCAACAGGACTCACTTTGATGTGATGGAAATGTTCCAAGCATGGATAGTGGTGATCATTTCACAATTATCGCCTTTCTTCTGGGAGGCTGGGACTAGGCCAGCCAATGGGCCTTTGATCCCAGCTCTGAGTTCCTTACCCCTAGGAACCCAAGACATGACTTGGGCACTTTCTAAGTGCAAACTTCCCAGATGCCTTTTCAGAGAGTCACCAAGGACCTACTTATTCCTAGGGGACCTCAAAAAAAAAAAAGGTTAGTGTTCTCTTGGGAGTTTGGAAGAGCCATTTTATGTGAACTTTAAGTTAAAAGTAAATGCTTTTCTAATTTTTCTTGCTTTCTCATTATAGAAATTGACTTTCACTAAACATTAAAAGCCCCTAATTCATTTTCTCAGGGAAAAGCAGTAGACAGCTCATGAGACAAAGGACTTGCCTTGGTCTCAGAATGAGTTGGTGGCTAAACCAGACCTCCAGCTCACCCATTATGCCCTAGAGTTTCCTCATCCTGAGCAGACACTGTCTCTAGTTGCTGCTGGTACTTGACCCAAGATTGTGAATGCTTTCTAAATGCTGGTAGGAGACTAGCATTGAGTGTGATTTTGCAGGTGGTAGGGCTGATGAATGGTTTCAATGAGCGCAGAGCTCAGGATGGAAGTTCATGCATGGATACAGTTACATCTCACCATGCCATGGAGTACACATTGTGTACTAGAGAAAATTTCTCTAGCATGTACACACCTTTTTCTAAAATGGCCAGTGGAAGCAACTCAGGCAACAGAATAGGGAAGACCCCCAACCTGTCAGCCAGTGCTTCTGAATGAATTATGTGGCATAACCAAAAGGAGATGCTTGACTCCACCCTTACAACTTATGTCTGTATGACCATTGAGCCACAGTGTATAATCTACTTTGCATCGTTCCCAGAACTGTTAGCTAAAGTGCAAGGTTAGGATGGAAGGCACAAGGTCAAAAATAGAGGGATAGTTAGTGGGAGGGAGTATTGGGACAGTGAGGGTGACATAAATAGCATTCCTAGTACTATAATAATGGCCAGAGGAGCTGGAGCAGGAAATATGCGTGAGGCTAATTCAGTGGTGATTTCTTGGAGGCAATCTGGACTTTGTCTTTAAGCTGCTATACTAAAGGAGTGAAGTCAGATGCTGAGGAATCCCTTGACTTGCAATTCAAGATGGGAAGGAAAGTCAGCAAAAGTTTCCTCCACTTGAAGATTTGAGAGGCTTTTGAGAAGGGGTACTGCCCCCCAACTTCACCCCCCGCTATAATTGCTCCTTTCTGAGACCCAAGCGTAAATTGGACAATGCATTGAAAATGACCCTGAGGATGGTGCATGATGTGGGACGCATATGCTGCCTTTCAAATAGTGGAGAATCAGCACACCTGCAAACCAAATCTATTACATCACTCTATTCTTATTCCTTGACTCATTTTAGGTGTTTGTTATAGACATTAGGGCACATACTTCCTAAATAAAATAAGACATCCGAATTTTCTCCAGTCCTTTTGGACAATCTGGCTGAATGAGCAAGGCAAGATCAGGTGTCCCAGTGGGGCAAGGCAACAGTGGCTCTCGGATCCCACTGCATCACTCGCTGCCCCTCAGCAGACCATGTATATTCCCGATTCTGAACTTTGCTTCCCTTTTTACTCAGAGTCTATTTTCAAGACCCAGGCCACCCTTCTGCTTCATCTGTTTTTTTTTTTTTTTTTTCACTGTCATCACAGCCCACACTGGTCATGCTTTGTTCAGGATTTCCATTACAGCCAAATCTGTTTTGCACATAATTGTTCTGTAATTCTTTCATAGGTCTGTTTTGTCACTCCCAGACAGACTGTAAGTTCCTGAAGAACAGTAATCATGCTTTATATTTATTTTATTGACTGCCCGGAGCTCTTGGCCCAGGGCAGATGCTTCATGGTGGTTTCCTAGCCAACTGAGATGTTCCTATGATATGTCACACTGTTTGTAGCCCTCTGAGACTTACAAAGCCCGTGCCTTGCATTCAGTTAAATGAATGCTGGATGAAATAAAATACGATCCCAGTTTTGCTGTGTGTGTGTGTGTGTGTGTGTTACAAAGACACAAAAGACTAGGGAAAATGCAGCAAAATCTCAGTAGTATTATCTTTGGGATACTCAGATTAGTATGTATTCCTTATTATTTATGCTTTTCAGTACTTTTGTAAATAAAGAATATTTTTAGTTTATGTGAAGTAGATCCACTCTATCAGAAGTATTAGGAATGAATGAGGTAATGAAGTTGGTAAATAGTTATTATTATCATAATAAGCTCTGTACAGTGAAGTGAAAAACTTGCAATGAATTCAGTTTGGATGCCTAGGATTCTTTGTGGGTCTATTCCAGTGTTTCCCAAAGTGTGTTCCAAGGGACACCATTCCTACCACAGGTGTTACATTTAAATAATATGGAAAATAGGGGTGCCAGGGTGGCTCAGTTGGTTAGGAGGCCAACTCTTAATTTGAGCTCAGGTCATGATCTCAGGGTTGTGAGATTGAGTGCCACATCAGGCGTCGTGCCCATCACGGAGTCTGCTTGAGATTCTTTCCCTCTCCCTCTGCTCTTCCCCTGACTCATGGGCGCACACTCTCTGTCTCTCAAATAAATATTTAAAAATAATATGGGAAACACACATTCTGTAGCTGTGGAAATTCACAATGTCCATTAACCCTGCTATTCCTAAAGCAAAAGAACCTGGCTCTGATCTACATAGAGTTTTCCAAACTTTTCTGATCATAGAATCTTTTTTCTTATAGTGCCTGTTAACATGTTGGGAAAGCATTGTTCTACCTGATTTTTAAAGAATAGCATATATTTTTAGTTTTGAATGTCTTTATATTGTTTGTGTATTATTAATTTTCCCTTGGTTAAATGATTCAAAAGGATGACAAAGTTAAAAGTATAACTTCTTTATTCCAAATCTATCACAGTATCACGTGATTTGGTGACTTTTTCTGTCATCATAACAGTACGCAACATCTGTCATCGCTTAATGCTTTAAGTTTTAAAACTATATCTACCACTAAATGAAAAAAAAAAAACAAGCCACAAGTCTGAATTTACTCACCCTCCTCCAGAGTCCATCTTCAGTAGGAAGTTACCCGTGTGAAACTGTATTTTATTTTTCCACAGATTTTTCATCATCTCCATAATCATCTTTTCCATATGAGTTTTTGGTAGTGGTAATGATAGTTGAGAGATTACCCTCAGCACTGCTGGGAAATTATCCCAGTAATAAATTGTCGCAGGGCTAACCCACGATGTCAGGTAATACAGTGTATAAATTGAAATGTGTGTGCTTCTATCTGAAATTGAATGTGCCTGAAGTTGTGGGGATTCACTGGGAATGAAGACAAGACATCCTAGTGGGAGGGCATAATGCAGAAGGATGGGAATCTGCTTTGCTTTTGCCCTTCTATGGTTCTCCTGTCCTCCAGTCCATGACAGAAACATACAACTTGCTGGAAGCTTGGAAGGCACTTAGCCATTTGATTTTCCAGATGCTTTCTGGCTATCATATATACTCACATGAGAAGTAAGAGGAAGAGGGAAGTTAAACATTAAAAAAGCAGGTAAGGAAGCACAATATAGGTAGTGTCAAGTAGGATTTGGGCTAGTAAAGGATATGATCTCCCCTTGACTAGCCATGTGAGGCTTGGGATTACCTTTGGCTAAAACAGGTACAGCTGGACTGGCAATTCATAATAGGATTAGCTAACACCTGTATAATAGGCTACTCTAAGGATTGTACCTCATGGAATTATTTTGTTTTAGAAAGTATGATATACAAAGCTCAGTTTAATGTCAAACAAAATATAGAGAGTATGTTTGACCCCAGTATATTTTGCACTATCCCCCGTACCCCTGTGGTGGAGACAGCCTGTTAGCACTAGGTGCCCCTGTTTAGCCCAGTGCCAGGGCAAGTGCATGATCTCCTGGAAATTTATGTCTGTCCCTGGTTATACCCTATGCAAGTTTCAGTTCTGTTTAAATTTCCAACTGACTGACACGCACACACAATCATGAATGAAAACCAAACAGTGGAAAATAACATCTTCTCACCTCCTCATGATCTGTGGGAACAGCACTGCCGCAGAGCCCCGCTGCGGGCTGCTGCCTGGTTTCCAGAAGTCACGTGGCTTGGAGTGGAGTGTCTGAGGCCTTCCGCAGCACCCGCTGCCAGAGGCTGTGGTTTTTAAGTAACACTTGGAAGTAGCACTGAAGGCCATCAGCAGGAAGATGAAACAAATAAAGGGATAAGAGAGGAAAGTCTGTTTTGGCTATGCACGCAAAATAAGATGAGCTTCTTGACTCTTGGGCCTTTAAGTAACAGGCAGGACGAGCTTCTTTCAGTGTCCTGGGAGCTTTTAGAGGTCAGGGCCTAGGACCTTCTCCTGCAGGAATCCTCAGCTCCCTGGATGCCTGGTGCCTTACAGCACAGCAGGACATGTGAGCTGATACAGACCAGAGTGAAAATATTTCAGCCTGTGTGTGCTGGAGAAGCATTTCCTGAACACAAGTGTGTACGTAGATCACCTGTTGAAATGTAGCTTCGGCCTCTGCACTTCTGGAGTGAGGCCTGGGATGCTCTGTCTCCAGCAAGCTGGTGGGTGGCTGCTGATGCTACTAGCCCACGGAACACACTTTGAAGGTCAAGATCCTGGAGAATAACAAAACCAGTGAAAATGTCTTCTGTTTAAGTTTGATTTCAGAAAGCTGCCTCCATAACCCCTCATCCCCTCCCTGGGGTGGCAGGCCATGATCCTGGCAGTGTGCTCAGGTGCCTTCTGGCTCCTGCTCACCCCTTGGTCTGGGGCACCGAGGAGAACGTGTGGCGCCCCCCCTGGTTAACCAACCCCTTCTTTTTCCCCAGGGGAGGAGCGCCCCCGGGACTCCCCGGGCCCGGCGGAGGCCCAGGCGCCGGCTGGGGCAGAGGCCGGCGGGAGGACGAGCCACCCCTGCTGGAGATGCTCCCGGGCGCAGCTCAAGAAGATGTTCTGGGGTGTGGCGGTGGTGCTGTGCGTGTGCTCCTCCTGGGCAGGCTCCACGCAGCTCGCCAAGCTGACCTTCAGGAAGTTCGATGCTCCCTTCACCCTGACATGGTTTGCCACCAACTGGAACGTTTTATTCTTCCCGTTGTACTACGTGGGGCACATCTGCAAGTCCACAGAGAAGCAGTCTGTGAAGCAGAGATACAGGTAGGCACCTTCCAGATGGGAGGCCCTGCTCTGGGCTGCTCTCCTGAGCACTGGTGCTGCTGTGCTGTCCTGGCAGCTGGTGCTCTGTCGGGTCGGTGGGAGCAGTGGTGAGAGTTCACGGTGTCACTTGCTGTCTGAGTGGGGCAAGGATCAGGATTCTCCCCCAAACCCAGGATCCCCCCACTGCTTCCTATGTCTTCTGCCCTAGGAACTCCTTTATATGAAACAAAAGGCAACATTTTTTAGAGAAAGTCTGTGATAGGTTCCCAGAAAGTGTAAAACTGGAACAATTCTGTCCCAGGAGTAGCTCTGTTACCACTCCTCAGGCTGGGGTGAGCAAAGTGAGCCCATGGAGCCAGGTGATGTGGCTGCTTCCTGCAGCTTACCTTCCCTCATGGAAATGTTCACTGCAAAGAGTGGATTGCTCATTTTCTTTCCAACCCAAGACATTGCCTCCTTTCGTTATGCGATTGCATGGGTCTGATTATCTGGCAGTGTGGCTCTCAAAATCAAAGCAGCATCTGAACTTTGTTGACAGCACTTTCTCAGATGGAGTCTATTGGTGTGACCTTCCTTTCACAGAGAAGCCAGAAATCCTGACAAACCTCTTCAGAAGTCAAATCATTGGTGTTGACTTTGAGTCCTTACCTTACACCAGTTGCAGGATCTCATGGTTGCCCTAATTGGGGGGCCCTCTGTGGACTGTGTCAAAGGTTTCCTGCTGCCCCAAATCGGATCTACTCAGAAAAGAAAAAGGAAAGAATGCTGGCCAATGTGACTCAGTGGGCCCTGGGAACTTAGCTTTGGTCAGCCCTGGTGGTGGGGAAAAGATTTGAAAGTTGAAAGCTTCTCACTCCTTCCCCACTGCCTTTTCTCCCACTTCACCCCACCTCACCAGACACATGCCCCATAAAACCACCATGTCCCCTGTACCATCTGCTTTAAGCTTCAGCCCTATTCTGGAAATGAGTAGAAGTCACAAGATAAATGAAACATCACAGGTCCAAGGAGCAAAGAGTTTGGGGGAACAGAGGTCTAGACTCCGCTCGGGATCTGTCTGTGGCAATCTACCATTAGATGTCACTGTAAAGTTACAGGTGGAAGTGTGAGGTGCCCAACTTTTTTCACGGTTCAGACGGAACTTGGATTGGCTCCTTTGGAAGAACAAGTTGTAAGTCAGACTGCTGATTATAGAGGAAGGGGCTCTGAGGAAGTGTGGACTGAGTCATGAGGCAGCCTCACCCATCCCCTTAGTGGAAAAGACTCTGAGCAATGTCTGGGAACAAGACCTGGTGCAGGAGCAAAGATCCTGGAGCCCAGACCTGGGGCCCAGGCCTGGGGTGTTCTCAGGATTGAATTAAACCAGTGGCTCCCAGGACCAGCCAAAAATTACTAAAGAGGCACTTAATGCATCTCTCCTGAAGAGCAGCCAAGAGCCAACTGAAGCAGATTTAGAAATGTTGATAGGGCCCATGATTGTCCCCAAGGCAAGAGGAACATTAACGGTCCGCTTTTGGTCGCAGTCAAGAACAGATCCTCAGTAATCGGATGTATTTAACAGCCTTGGAGCTCTGAGCATAGTTTGTAATTAGGAGTTTGCCTTTCTTTAAACCGACTAGAATATTGACCTCCTTCCTCTTAACAATAAGCTGAAAGTGAGCCTAGGTGCCCTTTCTTGAGGGAGAATCACTGGCTGAGATGACGTGTTTTTCCTTGCCTGCACACTGACACAAGGGGTCCCCTGAGGGTAGCACTGGTGGCCATCTGGCACACGTGTCTTCCACATGACATGGCTCACCTACCTCTGGACAACGCATACACTGTCGGCCCCTGGGGCAGGCCCTGCATCCCTTAACCGACTGCCAAGAACAACCCAGAAGGAACCATGCTTGGTGGTGGTTAAAAAGTCCAGGCAGGAAAATAAAGAGGTCACTGAAGTGGAATTAGTTCAACACAGATGTCGGTCACCACCACTTCAGCTCACTGGCTCCCGGTAGAAAGTGTCTGGGAAGGATCATGAAAAGGTTATGGAGGCTGAGTGGGCTGGAGGGCAGGGGAGGGCAGGGCCGGTAATCACAACAGGGTCAGGGAAGCCAGCTGAAACCCTGCCCATTTCTACAATAAAGCTTAGCTCCACCTCTTAAAAAAAAAAAATCTCTCTTAAAACCTTTTTAAAAATCAGCTCTAAGCAGAGCTGCTCATTTACCACCGAGTTACTGGGTAGCTGGTCAAGCCCAGCACACTGCTGGAGGGTCACAGGAAGATTCTTTCTCAGGAAAGGGAGAAAGAATTAACATCACTGACTTCACTGAAGAGGTCATAACACTGTCACAATCACATTGGGAGTCCCCTAAACAGACTCAGGGATTCTCAGAAGTCAAGGAAAACCAAAATCACATCCCATTTTTGTGCTTTTATCAGAATTAGTGCCAGCAAAGGAAAGATCTAGAATCAACTGAGGAGACATGTCTCTGCAATTCTTCAGCAGGAATCTGGGCAGGAAAGGGCAAAGGTAGAGACCTTTCTTAAAGAGAGGAAGGCAGTGAAAGGAGCTCTTCAGGCTCTTGGGAAGCAATCAGATGGGAGTTTCTTTTCCCCAAGGCCTGTGCTGCTAGGCTTCTTCCCCCGTGTGAAGCTAGAAGAGTCAGCCAAAGCACAGACGAAGGCATACATTGCCGGGCACAGAGCTCCTGAAACCCAGCCAGCTCACGTGGGATCTTGCTGAAAGGTGGATGCTGACTTGGTAGGTCTGCGTGGATCTGAGATTCTGTTTTCCTAAGGAACTTCCAGGAGTATTGGTGCTGCTGGACCACGGGCCACACTTTGACTTGAATAGCGTGGTGTTGTGAGTCTTAGCTACAGGCTTTTAAATGCTGCCAATCTGACCAAATGGAGGAACCAAGATTCATGGTACCACGTAGTACTGATGAGTGACTCACTTTGGGGCCCTGGAGATGTTTGAGCCCTGGTCGTGTGCCACTTTCGAGGGAGGAGAGGCTCCCCCGGCAGTTGTTTAAGATCTGGGAGCCTCAAATGCTCATTTGTAAACGGAAGCTGATGACACATGCACCATCCTGCACAAAAGATTGTTGTGTGATTAAATGAGACACTGTATATGCAAGTGCCCTATAAACTGAGATGCCATTAAAATGTGAGGAACTGTCACTGTCCTGTGCTGTCCTCTGTGGGTTACATCCAAGGATGTAGCCCCTGCTTCATTTAGCGACTGCTTCGTGATCTATTTACATGACAGGAGTGGGTCTTAGAGCAAGGGCTAGCTCAGCAGTGTCATGCAGGTGTTATTATGCCTTGGAGAAATTAGCTCTAGGCCCTGCTAGCTGCACAGGGCATCCTAGAACTGATCCCAGCTTCTCATGCTCGGGCACTGTCATCAGGAATTAAGAGTGTGAATGTGAAAACCCCCCAGCCCAACCATCGTGGGTTTTCAGTCTCATGCCTGTGGTCCCCTGTTGCCTGCTGACAGCGGGCCACGTGAATGCACCAAGGAAACAATAGTGCCAGGGACCCAGATAGGCTCTGGCCATGAAGATGCATGTGGGTGTTCTAGATACTGCAGACGTAATCGGAAGAGGGGTCCCAGGAGTCTCCTACTGAGCTGGGCACCTGGCGGGGAGGCTGCATGAGGTCCGTGCTCTCGAGGGGTATGACTTGCCATGACAAGAGGACAGCTGCTCAGGTCCCAGGGGCTGCCACAAGCAGCAGAGAGCAGCCAGAGCAGATCTGGGGCTCCTGCACGCTTGTCAGGTCTTCCAGGAATTTCTACCGGTAGTGACCTCTTTTCATGAGCAAACGCTAGAGCCTTCTGCTGTCATGCAGCTGCCAAGAAAGCAAATGATACAGTGGTGATAGATGTTTTTCTCTGCCTTCCGTAGTTTCAGGCTACTGTAAGCTAGCCAACTGATTCCGTTTCAGAAACACTGAGAAACATTCTGAGCCCAGAAGGGGGAAAGGGCAGTTTTGATGCCATGCCTTTCATCTCAAATCCTACCAGGGCCCAGTGTGTACGTAGCTGCACAGACGTAATGCAGGAACCGTGTGTGGTCTCACAGCTCTGATATCCAAGGTCTAGGAAGCAAAGTGGAGCAGTGGTGAACCAGAGGTTCTTGCATTCTGGAAGTGGCACTGCATGTCTTCTCTGGGTGAGGCATCAGGGACACACAGTGATAAATGGGCACCCGGTGTGGGAGTCAGACAGGCAAACAAGGCTGGGGGGGCTATAAGTGGGGGAGCAGAGAAAAGGGGAGAGGCCAGGTGTGTGGGGCCCGGGCCCGGATGGGAAGGCTTCTTCAAGCAGACAACTGAGGAATAACCTCCCTAAAGAGAAACAGATGGTACTGGACCCTGGGCAGACAGAGTAGCACGAGGAAGCAGAGACTGCAGAGAGCATGTGAGGGAGGGAGCTCGACTTGGCTGTGGGAGGTAAGTGGGGTGGGGGAAGTTGGGCAGGAGCAGCCCCTGGTGACCCTCCCACACCTTGCAGAGAGGTTTGAATGCTGGCATGAATACTGGTGGGGGGAAGGGTGCACGGAAGGGTTCTAGGTCCAACAGAGAAGCCATCAGATGGAATCTAGAAATACCAGCAGTGATGTGCTGCAGAACATGGAGTGGAACACAAGGCTGCAGGCCGGTGCAATCGAACAGACTCGTTGACACTTGTCACCATAGGAGCACAACTGAGTGGGACAGAGACCCACATGGAAACCAGACGAGCTGTAGGGAGGAGGCAAGTGGGAGGGTGGGCAGCCAGTGGCTGCAGCGTGGGTGCGTGGACAGGGCAGGGTGGATGGGAGAGCTATAGTCAGATTGTGGCCCAGACCCGAAGGGCTTTGGGTGCTGCTGGATCAAGGGCTTTATGCCCTAAGCAGAGGGATCCTTGGGAATGTTTTGAGTAGAGGACAGATAGCATCAGAGCTGCTTTGAAAAAGCTTCAAATGCTTATCCCACAACTGGTTACGGAGTATGCCCCATTTCACATCAAC